CAGATGAGACTCGTCAGGCCGTTTCTGCCCCGTGACGTGCCACCGATGGCAAAAAACAAAGAAAGAAAAAGTACGACGACCGGTATCGGGGATCGTGACCACGCGCGCAAAATAGCAGACTGAGCAGGAGACACAGCGCGAACGGGGCACAGATGCGACGGCGCAGGCGCGCTCGCAACCGGGTTGCATTAATTATATTTTAACAATTAGCTGGCGCACTCTGCCGTTGTCTGGTCCGAACATCTTGCTTTGCGTGTAACATAACATAAGTCATAAATAGTAGGTTAATAATAGGTTAAAAAAATGTTAAAATACAACCATGTTAAAAGTTAACAGTATAATTAGAGTCAAGTAAACATATTTTACAATCTAGTTAAATGTATCTAAACATTTAATAGTGTATTCTATTAATATTAAAGTCATTTTTAAAAAGTTCAACGCAGTTGTTTTCAAAAAAATAACAGAATTCCTTATACGGAAGTATAGGATTACCTGCAATATAAATATTTTATTAGATTTGTTGATTATGTGCATTAAATCGTTATTCGACAAACACCTAGAACGCTAGAACTTTTCTTTTTAGGGGAACCCGTGGCAACATAGGCCATTGAGTGTATAGAGTTGTTTGGTAAAGGTTTAGTATTGTTCTATGTTGATAGGATTGTAACACATGTTTGTGTATGTGTGGCAAGGATGTGTAAATGTGTTGCTCAAAACCCGGTGGTCACCTATCCGGGAGCTAGTTTCCGCAGATTGAGCGTACGAATGCGCCACACCAAGAAAAATAGAATAAAAACATATTACACCAGACTGTAATATAAGTACTATCTATAAATAAAATCTCTGAAAATGAAAAAAATTCGACAGTAATTATTTGAAATTCGAGATAATTCGTAGAAATGATACAGTCATACCGCATAAAGCTACGCGGGCAGTAACCGGAAGCGTTCGCAGATAACGACGGCGCCTCAAAGAATGCATCTGATTGGCCATTGTGCTTTGTAAAGGTTATTCAGTATTAAAAAACAAATGAAACTTAAAAAAATTGAATTTTTCATTGGCCGTCTCTTTTTGCCAATTTGCCACCAGCGGACTACTGAATTAAGCGTTTTATGGCATACGCTTTATAATATTAACTAAGTTGGAAACTGGCTGTGTGAAACTTGGAAACTGAAAACCGGCAATTGTATAATAAGGTCTCAAAACGTATGCCCGGTGCTCTTTTGCACGTAAAAAAAATGTAAATTCGAAATCTGTGTTGGAGGGTCTAGCAAGTCATTCATCACAAGTGAAAATCGATTGACGTTCAAATTATCCACTTAATTAGGAAAATGTAAACTACAGCACGTTGCACGTCAGGTAGGAAAATCCACGGATTCCGGATTCCGGATTGAGGAAACGTATTGAGCGTCAGTAAGAGAAAGCTGAGTGTGGTCGAGAGAAAATAGCATTAAGCAAAAATCTATTTATGCACATTAACTATTGTTTAATTGTGGTAATGTAGTATATTAATGTAATTTTGTAATAAACCAACATAATATGGTATGTTTTATTCAAATTTAGGAAAAATACACATTGATTATTAAGACATTGAAAAATTATGTAATAAAAATGTAAATAAAAATGTAATTTATTTAAGGTAAATTAATGATCTGACCATTATTCTTATTGCAAATAATTACAAAATGATCACGGAGATGCCAATATTATGCTTTTGAATGATTAAACGTTGACATTTCAATATGCACAATAATATTAAGAGGACCCTATACCCGCGTCCCGTATATGTTGTCTCCGTCTTACAAGAGAGTAACATATCAAATTTTACGTACAGCAGATCACGTTTAGGTCAGTAGCTTAAAAATTAGAGTGAGCTAACTAAGCTAAACATGATCTGCTGAATGTAAAATTTTATGTGTTCCGCTCTTGTAAGACGGAGACATCACATGCGGGTCACATAGCGTCCTCTTAAGCAATATTTATATTTTAAATCAATAAAAAAAAAACACTAAGCCTGACTGATTTGAAGAAAATACAATTGTAAATGTGATTTAGAAAAATTCGAACCGCATTTGAGTGCAAACCGCTTATTCTCGAGTTTTAAAGGAACAAACTCCGCGAATAGAGAAAAAAGGTCGAAAAGGTGAAAAACAGTATTAAAAAATTTATAATGTGTACAAAAAAGAATTAGTACACAACAGTATCTAATGATTCTAATGCATTATATTTACACGTTTGTGCACATATTTTAAATTTATTGTTATATTATGCTGCGAAGAGAACTAATAAAGCTTCAAATTTTTTTGAAAATGTCGAAGCAACTTATAACTTTTTTAGTTCCAGTGCACCTAGATGAGCTACTTAAGCTTTTAAAAAACACTAAACAAACGAAATTCAAACAAAGGTGCTAAAAAAAGTTTGTCCAATTCGTTGGGAAACACTGCATGAATCATTATCGTCATAAAAATAACGGTTTTGTTATAAAGACGCTTACTGCAATGATTGAGTTCGCCAGCGAAAAATTAGAAGAAAAAACATGAGTTTGTCTTGAATGAAAAAATTTAAATTTTTGATTTTATTTTAATATCAATTGTCTGGGAAAAAATGTTGAGCTCCTTACGCGGTGTATCACAAAATTTTCAATAATAAAACAGAGATTTACAAAAAGCTCGTGAGCAACTTGAAAACACAGATCAATCAATTTAAATCACTAAGAGAAAATTATGAGAGTGTCGTAGAAGATGCCAAATGTTATGAAATAATTTGGGAATTTCAACTAAGTATGAGTCAGCTCGATAATGATTTGCAAAAATACATTTTGATGATATAGATAGAGACCGAATTTAAGAAATATCTGAACACAATTTTAGAATAAAATTTTTCCTTGCTATCGTTAACACTGTATTAAACCAATCGAAAATTTAGTTTCGTAGACTTACAGAATGCAACTAGTAGGTACATTTGATTTTCTTAGACCTCAATAAATTATTGAATCTGAAGAAGCTATGATTGTTAAAGAATCTAATGACTATGAGAATATAGGCCTCAAGAATTCTAGTTGCGGCACTGATCAAATAGATAAGAATAAGAACATTTAAGCGTATATTTCAAGAAAATATTGTGGAGTGAAATACATATACATATCAATGATTATTAATACATTTTACACAAAATGAAATAAAATATGATATATAGTATACGTACTTTCTTCTAGTTTTCCATCTAAAACATAAATTATAAAAATGTAAAATTAGTGTAATATCAACTATATTAAATGGACTAATTTTAAAATATTAGATAATCTTTTTTGTATTGTTTACTTTATAAATTTTATCTAATTTATCTATAAAACCTAATGTTCATCATTTTAAAAGTTATTTGTTTTTGCCAATGAAATATACTAATATTAAATATATATTCATATACTCATGAAAAAAAAAATCAAATACATTTAAAATGCTCATTTAAACTTTAAATAGATAAACCTAACCATTACCAGCTTTCGTTACAAACCGGTTAGCAATTTTAGGCCCTGGTTTAAATGAAACAATTTAAAGCCAATGGAAACATATGATTGAAATATTGATAGGTGCATTTTCAAATCTTGGTTGGTTCTATTTTTTAACAACCCAGAGTCAACATGTTATAGAAGATGAATATGTTTATTTTAAAATTATAGTAACACTCATAACCAATAATGGGTGACTTGTCCTAACTGAACGAAACCTAAAATGATACTTATTACTAGGGCGCGGATTTCAATGCAAAATGCATTTTTTTTTCCTAAATCCTTACGCAATGCTCAGTTTGGCAAAAATACGTTTCAAGTGGTGTAGATTCATGTAATTCAATTTTTATTTTGCATTTTTTTGCATTTTTTGTCGTTTTAACTTCTTTAATGCATTTTTGGTCATTTTCGCTACTTTTAAGGTTATTATTTTCATATTTTCGAAATATGTAGCATTTTTGGAGAGAAATAAAAAAAATTTCAAGACGTATTCAATATTTTTCTTTTACTAAATTATTGAAAACTACACTTTATCGTCTATTTCATATATGAATTGTGGTAAATGATAATAGTCGATGACGAAAACAATAAAACGGACTGTATAGTGTACATAGTGGGACTAGCCACACTATTAATAGTCTCGTCAGTGGATAGAATTTCCGTTTTTCAACGAAATATAATTTTATATCTACATAATATCGTTCTAATCAGCTATTTCTATTATTGCTATCTTCTAAATATTCTATTTTTTTATGTCATTAATTAAATTTTAATAAAATTAAAAAAATGTTGTGCATTTTTTACATCATTTTTCACATTTTTAGTACATTTTTTTACGTCATTAATTGAAATTTTTAGGTCATAATTGCATTTTTTCTAAGGCATTTTTAGGTTTTTTTTAGGGCATTAAAATCCACGCCCTACTTATTACTCAGTGAGTAAGTAATAGTTTGAAAATGATGAAAACAGTTTGGTTTCCAGTTACTAATTAGAAAAAATATCGTTAGAACATCCATACAAAGAATGTATCGAAACTGTGTAAGAATAAAGACCATAAGACAATCATCATCTCTTTCAAAATAAAACTGACAACATAACACCTTCACCCGGAATACAATACAAATTGTAGTTATTAAGTATAATATATTTACAACACGGTTCTGCTATAAAATAATATAAACAACTAAAAATTACAAACACATGATTATTAAGACCTAAACTGAAATTTTACAATAAGTAAATACTAAATAGTAGTTAACAGTTTTTTTAAGAATTAGAATTGAAAATATAGGTCTTCAAAAAATTATCTTCTCAAACCATTTAAACTATATTTGATATAATATCAACATTGGGGTATGAAACTAAATTCACACGATAGATATATCTAACACTATAGACTATAGTAAATACGAATGAAATGAAATTATTAATATAAATAAAAACTACATACCCGTTATGTTATAGTTTGAATCTAGAAAAAAAAATACCCAGTAGGTAGTATTTTAAATGTATAATTATAAATTCTTCATAATATGCTATGATTAAAGAAGCAAATCTAGGTATTTAATTGAACATTTCTCAATAAATTTAGAAAATTTTCAGTGGGAGACCAATTTTGAAATTTAATCGTTGTTTATAGAAATAAAAACAAATCTGAATTTGATCTTATGTGTACAGTAATTTCATTGTTTATTAATAAGTTTTTTAAAGTATTTTATTCTTACCTAACTTTTAATAACATTGTAATCCATTTATAATTACAATTACTTCACAAATTAAAAAAAAAATGATTGTAATATGTTTAGAACTTATCCACTATAATCAAATGCATCAACAATTTTTTGGAATCAAAACATATTTGAGGGACATATTTACAAAATAAAAATTTTGTATATGTGAGATAAAATTGGGTCAGGATAATGTTTGTTCTTATCAAACAAAACAGAAAATGTCATCGGAATTGTAATGAAAAACCGAGTAACGAAAATTAAAATTATAGCTTCACACAATATAGCTGACCTAAGTAGATATACATTCGGGAAACGTCACACTTGCCCATAATTCATAGCCATTATAACATTTAGGTTTTAAATGTTCATTTCCTATGATTTTCAATTGAATAAAAAACAACTTCGAGAAAGAACATATTGTTTACTTAAATTTACTCAGAAATGTTCAAATAAAAATAAATTATTATAAAGGTGAATGAAATAAAAAACTCAGTGAAAGTTTCATACCACTACCTGGAAAATAATAATAAAATATTAATGATAAATAATAATAACCATATTATATTTCTTATATTGTGAAATTGAAAGCCCAGGAAGAAACAAGTAAGTACTGTCAAGTATTAACACAGTATTGTCATAATTTACATATTTTAAATTCAATCATCAATAATCAATAACAACAGTAGCATGATAATAAAGTGATAAAAAAAACAATGATGATATCCAAATATACCTAAAACATATTACAGCATAATAAGGGCATTTGAGTCTTCAATCATCCAAATATAAATCATTTCGTATGCTTGAAATCAAAAGATCCATTTCAAATATATAAAAATTGCTCAGGAGATTATGACAACGTTTGTATCACATCATCAAGCTGTATTGGATCACTTAAGACACGCAATAAGAAACAAATGTTCATGCTGTATAAATTATTGTTGTAACTGCATTATTGTAACACTCATCTTCAACTGGCACATATCCATAAGTTACTGGATTTAAGGGACAGTGTCAATGGGTCTAGACTCAAAAATAAAAATTATTTTTCAGCATTCACTTCAGGACCTCGTCTACCAGAAATACCTGTACCCACACACACCAATGATCTATGCTTGCCTATCGTCCATCATAACCGTTATTACTTTGAATATGCGTGGCTCTGACTCTGTATCAGGTATCTACATATTTACGCTTGTAAACATCAACGCTGTCGCCGTAAATCACCCCCTCCCTCTATTCACCTAGCCACAAAAAGCTGTTATCGCTCAAAGCGTCACCGAGAACAGGCCTCAACAGCTGATCATCGTAGCCACGTAAATACTAACATAATATTTTACAATGTACATTTGTACAATAATTACTATTATTATCATTAGTTATAACTGTAGTTATCCACTTAACACTTTATCAACACTGTGATGGCAAAATAATATTTTTCTTACCATAAGAACTACTCTATAAGCCTTCCCATTATTATTTGTCCAAAGTATTGTCTAACGTAGCATTTAATATTTAAATAACTATCTATCAGTATCATATATTTTTCCACGGAATCTTTCCATCTTGTTCTTGGTCTTAAAAGTGGACGTTTTGTCATATATATTTTCCCCTTCGGAAAATTCTTCAATGCATCTCCATCAGGTCTCCACACATGTCCCAGCCACTTTCGACATTTGCATCTTATATATTATGTGAGTATATTGAGTTTTTCGTATATTCTATACAGCTCTTCATTGTGTCTCATTGTGTCTTTTTGTCATATATTCCTTGGTCGCCTTTATACTTTTCCATATATATTTCTTAAGATGTTTCTCTCCCAGATAGCAAAGTTTTTTACTGTCTTCTTTCCAAAGCTGCTCACGTGCATAGGTTACTATTGGTCAAAAACAATGGAGCTGAAGTACAAAATTAAATGTATGGCAAGGATCTCCGACAACCACCTACTCCACCCCACAACAGTATCAAAAAACCTACTAAGAATACTCCAAAATATTGGTTTTTATATATTTATGTACATAATATAAATATACTTAATTCTTAAATGTATAAATAATAGTTGATATTTGATAATGCTATTAGTTGTTACTGTTCTTACTAATTATTGTATTATTAATTATTATTATGAACTATTTCGTATTTACGGTTCAACGATAACATTAAACATTGATTTAATACCATATACTTTCAATGGGCAATATTACTTAATAATTTGGGATCCTATTCTCGTTAAATTTTTTCTCCTATAGACCCACCCCCCAGCCAAATGTTTATATGAATGGCAGCTGTCATATAAACATGGACATCGGCGCCACTGGTCAAAATAGCTTGTGTACAGAATAATAATTAATTTTCTTGATCACAGTTTCGATCTCAACAACTTGTTGATGATAAAGTAACGTTTATATCCTTTTGATATTCTCGCTTTTATTTTTCTATGCATGTTAATGTTTCTGCTGTTCGTATGAACACCCAAGTATTTGAAATTATCCACCTTTTCAAAACACATAATTTTCACTTTCAGATATGATTAGTCTGCATTTCTTCTAGATAGTACCATAAATTTAGTATTGTCTTAGTTAATATATAAATACGTGTTTCTGCTGGCTTTAATTCGTTTAGAATGTGAAGGGATAACTTCCTTGGGTGTATTTCTTAAGAGAACATGTCATCAGCATAAACTAAAACAGTGAGACAATTATTTCCTTTCGTTGTTCTTCATACGATTCAATTATAAAATGTTTCTAGTCACGAATTCAACAAAGTGAATTATAACACATCATTTTATTTTACAGTTCCAGAAGGTCGGTCAAAACTCTTTGGTTCTTTCCCTTCGGGAGTATGTGTATGTGTTAGTATGCGTATGTACGTTAAGATATACACAAGAAAACTAGAGTTAAGAAAAAAGTTAGATTACTAGCACATTTCAGTTCAAAGCATATTTTGTTGATACAAATTTAAAATGTCATACAAATAAAATCATCAATCTATTCATTTAACTAAACAACATGATATTTACGTACATTCCCTTCCTAGAAAAAAAAAATCATAATGTTACAGTTACTTATGTAAGTTAAAATATAATGTGATGACTTCAAATTTATTTTTGAATTATCATGATTTAAAAATATTCAATAGTAGATTATTTTTATAATCTGGCAACTAATTGTTTTTTATTGAACTATAAAATTTATTTTCCAAAATACAACGGAAACATTAAAATATGTATGCCACTGTAAAATCAGTTAATGTGATCATACTCAACAATTTACAAATATGTTGTCACAAATGATGAATGTTACATTTTTAGGAATGTCTGGAGAGCGCCTCATAATTAACTTATATTTTAATGACCTAAGTGCGTCAAGAATAATTTATCAGGGCTGGACGTTTTAAGATTTTCCTTGGCTAACCCAGAGATATATAGAACAAATCTAGATTGCTAACTGTGATAATATGAGAATCTTCGATCAGCCATTAAAATGAGAACAATCATCAGACCTATTTAATGTTGATATAATGGTTGATAATAAACATAGATGTTTTTTACAAACACAAACTATTTAACGTTATCTCATGAACATGAGCAATTATTAGTCTTGATTAAAATAGTGGCCGGTAGCTTCAACCAATTACACAGGTGCTGTATTGCAGTTAGCAATCTAGTTTTTTCTATACATCAGTGTTCTAAATATTATACTTTTGACGAAGCCCAAATGGAAGACTATGTCAAAACGATAACAGACACTTACAGTACTTGTGGATAAAAATACGAATAAAATAACGAATTTATTAAGACAAGATACAATTTTAATATCGTTCTGAAGGTCTAACTAGATCCCGAGTACTGAACTAGTTAATTGGAAGTATACAAATTTTAAATTAAAATGTTTATTTTTTAGAAATATATTTAGACAAGTAATACATTTATAATGTAGAAAAATTGTGAAGATATGAACGTTACACGTTCCTTCGTTCATTCGTTTCTCTGTTTGTCACGGTTGTTAACACTCTCGCTAGTATTTTTATGAGTTCTAAAGAATATACATTTATATTAATCATATTATCTGAGATGAGCTTCAAAAATTCAACGAGATGCCACGAGCAATTATACCAGTTACACGTTCAAAACTAAGGTAGAGTGTTTAAAATCTCGTGAGTCGGGACTCATAATATACCAGAAACCGCTTATAAATTCTCAAACAAAAAAAGCTTGAATAACTATTTGATTTTTATATGTATTGAACTTTAAACTTTTCAAGTTCTCAATATCGTGAACTAACAGAGAGTCAACAATGCAAGTAATTATTATGTAGCGAGTAAAAAGTTAATCATTTCAAATAATATAGTATGCTATAAATATTAGTTTAGTTAATAGTTGCTAGATTTGGTATGTACAACAATATAATTAATAATAAAACATTTGATATTGGAAAAAGTCAATTTGTATAATTGCATTGAAAAACTATTCAGTAGTAAATGATTCTCCAAAGTATAGCAGAAACTGTGGAAACACGCAGACACTTTACACTATTATATACAAGATACTTGTAAATATAAGCTGTTTATCTAAGTTAGTAAGTAAATAATACTCTGTATTATATACGACAAATTTTAGCAGAATTTGAAGGAAATGTTAGACGTATGTTTATGCTTTTCTTCCAGGGAAATTGGAAAATACGTATCATAAAATATTATTACATCTCGTTATAGCATTTTGTCCGAATCGCAACTCACCTTACGCCTGAGCGAATTATTATAGATTTTGAGTTGGGCGTAATAAACGTAATAAATCGAGTTTCTTATGGTGTCCAGATTCAAGGTTGCTTTTTCATTTATGCCTGTCTGTATGGCGATAAATTCAGCCACTCAAATTACAAAATTGTAAAAAGGAAAATGAACCGACTTCCGAAGAATGTAGAGTGATACTTCATTGGCGTTTTTACCAATTGACGACATTTTTGTCGAAATTAGTCATATTATGCATCCAACATTTTCTCAAGAGTAACTACTTCTTATTTCATACTTTGATAGAACTTATATTAGTGGTAATAAGTAATAACAACACGCACGGTATCCTCCTCCCATTTGGAATGACGAATGTAAACCGTCAAACTATGTCTTATTCTCATCTGACTAATAATTTTAGTGAAGGGTTTAATAGTTCGTCCAATAAATTAGTAGGAACAACAACAAATTGAAGTTTTTGGATATTATGGACAATTGGATGAATGTCGAAATAGACTTCATAAGAGACAAAAATCCTGTACGGCTGGCAATAATAAACTATATTCAATTTATGTGACCGACAACAAATATGGAATTTTCAAGTCCATATATTATACATGTAGTTTTTAAAAAAAAATGTCAATATTATATTTTATATGTCATTATGACATATTTATATTGTATACATTTTAAATTTACTTTAAAACTGATAATATAGGTAACACAATTAAGATTTATAATCATATAATTGATTGTTTCTGTATCTAACCATATACTTTTTATTTTATTTTTTCTATTTTAATAATTGACATTATATATATTTACTACCTACTTAGGTATATACTTTATGTATATAATAATACAAAGCGTCCGCTTTCTGCAATGTACATTTTTACTCGACCTTACACAGAGTCCGCGTTTCGCACTTTCAATCGTTGGACGATTGTAAACTCCCCCGATTTTACTGATATGCAAACTCTCCAGATGGTAAACACTAAACTCTCCTGGGTCTATTCCAATACTACCAGACGGGAATATGTAAACTCTCCCGGGTCTAATTCAGTACTACCTGACGAGAACATGTAATCTCTCACGGGTCTGCAATACTTCAGTTCTACTAAGCTAGGCGAGCATGGAGAATTATGCATATTAGGCTGTTGGTAAGGTTGAGAAACTTGGTTGAGCCATTATAGTCAATAACGTCTTAAACATTTAAATTAAAAATAGGTTGAAGGTAATAAAATATTTAAATATTTAAATTACAAAAACATATTAATGGTAATTAATTGATGATAAATATTCAAAATGATAATCACTATATTTGCAGTGAAACCAATTCATAGCGTAGCAATAACATTTAAAACAACTCAAGAAAGCTTACACATTTACTTCGGGTAAACATTAAGTTGACCTGAGAGAGTTAACCCTTTTAATTCAGGAAAACATAATATTAAAGCGGGGGTGTACACACATTTCCTTCAGGTAAACATAATATTGACCCGGGAGAGTTTACCATCGGGAGACATTACTAGTTTTAAAAATCGGGAGAGTTTACCACCGCCCCAATCGTTGACCTTACAAAGTGACCTAGAACCATTCCACACAAAGAACACGAAGTTCAGAATTTTTGTACTAACATTTTACAAGATTTTATAATGAAACCAAAAATGATACGTAACTGTGTTTCAAACTTGTAGTGATGTTAAATATTTGATACTCATCAAAAAAATTTTTTAACTACCCGCCTCCGTCACAAAAGAGAAAAACCATTTGGCAGATTGATTTACGTCAGTAATGTCTATAAAAATGAATACTTTAAAATATACAATGGATTATGAAATCGTTTCTAGTACACGTACACCTATAATAGTCTATATCATTCTTTATTACCGATTTTTTTTCTTTACTTTATTATGTTTTACAGTCTAAATGGATGGATGAATTTGTTGATTTTACAATAATGTGTGTTGTTTTGTGTGTGTGTGTGTGTGTGTTTAAAGGTATCTAGGTAATATTTGCGGATCAGAAGTATGAAAATGCTAATAGTTTACAATAGATTTGTTAAAAACTAAAAAAACAAATGAAAGAAAACAGGGATTCTTATGCAAAACTAATTTTGAACAAAATATACTTAGTTTTTTTGGAATAATTCAAAAACAAATAAAAAATAGACACCTAAACTAACCATAGAAACTCAAAATTTTCACAAAAAAAAATTGAGGGTCAATTTTAAATGATTTTTTATGTGTGACTCAATTTATAATTTTAATAAATTCTTCAAAATATAACGATCTGAAATTTAAAAGGAGGAAAATACGATCTTATCACACCTATTTAATATTGATATGATAACATGGTTGATAATAAACAGATAATTTTTACAAATTCAAACTATTTAACGTTATCTCATGACATGGGTGATAACAATTATTAGTCTCGATTAAAATGTTGTCCGGTAGCTTCAACTTATAATATTGTTGCTAAGTAATAATAGCTGTCGAATTTTTGATACTTATTTTGTGGTTAGAAATTTATAATATTATCAGTTTTTATAGCTAAGGATTACAAATTTTAAAACGTAGTATCTCATAAGTAGTTTTGGGCTAAATTAGATATTTAAACGAAGAATGGCGATCCTTTAGTTGTTTTTTTTTCGTTTAGAAATATTATAATATATACAGACTGACAAACCGTCTAAGCTCAGAATCGTTTTTCGTATATAATCCTATAATATTATTGAATTACATTTTAACACCATACAACAGCGTCAAACTTATAATAAACTGTACAACTGGATACAATATACACATTTTTTTTCAAAATTTTTTTTTTTTGGCAGAAAATACTTTTATTTTCAACTTTGTAGTTGGTTCCTGGTATAGGAAAGTGTTGGAAAAAAAATCAAAAAATTAAGGGGATCAGCAATTTGAATTACGAAGTATGGACCAACAGTAACCCTACAATTTTAAAATATCATCTTTTAATCGATTTGTTATAGCTCAGGCGTAGGTAGTAATCATTGACATATCTTATTATAGACAATTCAAAATAAAATAATTTTGAAATTGTTGTAGCACCGTAGTAAATTGTATGAATCAATTAATAAAACTCCATTAACAAAAAAAAAAATGAAAATCCATACCATTTTTCATGAATTCTAAAAATTAAGAGAATCAATAAACAATCAATAAA